CCTGTGGGACCCCACTTCCCACGTCCTTCGAGGTTGAGAAGGACCCATCCACTACCACCCTCTGGGTGCGACTCTCTAACCAGTTGGCGACCCATTGGACTGTATGACATTCCACCCACTGGGGAAAAAACATGTATTAGCAGTCACAAAAAAATAGAAGTACAAACATTTCCCCCCAGAGTTTTACTGATTTTGTGAGGGATTAGTTTTAACAATCTTATTGATTTCACTGTGATTGCACAACTGTAAATGAAATAACCTAAAAGATTTTAAGTTGCTAGTGTGCTATTCTATTCCTTGAGTTCTTTAAAGTTTCCAGCATATCACTAACTACTAGACATCCATAGGATTTTGTATCATGTGCTCAGGGCAATAGTACATTAAAAATTTTGAGTGCAGTTATATGAAGTTAAAAATAAGCAAATGGAAGAATTAAGGCGATACTGCAACCTTGATGTTGAGAAATCAAGCTCCCAGATCAGGATATTCTGCTACAATGTGTTCTTGTCATAGAGCACATCTACTCAACTTGCAATGCTAAGTCCAGTATAATAATACCAGAAGGGAAACAATTCTGTCTTCACAAAACCTGGACCAGCACCTAGCATATATATCATTGTCTCTCTTTCTGCACTACTGTACTGGACTCGACCTCATCAGTTCTTAAAAAGTTAGGCCAGCCTTTGGGTTTCTTGATTTCACATAGTCACTGTGGGTTATACCAGAAACTGAGGACTGGCCATGAAGATAAGAGTCAGTTTAAGAAAATAATAACAAAGGTAATGAGAAAAAAGGACAAAAAAATACATTTACAAATGATTAAGAAACTTTAACTGATTGCACTCAACTTAACTGAGTCATCTTTCATTTAGGAGCTTTAACAGCTTTATTTAATTCAGGATACCTTTACAGAAGGGTTCAAATATTGAGTGAACTAACTAAGGGGTCTTTAGAAGTCTTTACAGTTTAAAGATTTAAAATTTCTGTCAGTAACTTTCATGCAAACTTAAAACAGTAGACAAAATTTTCTAAGGCACATGAAGTGATCTGAAGGAATTGCAGAAGTCAGGTGGTCAGTCAGACAATGCTATAGCTCAGAAAGTTACTAGTGCCTATAATTATGAACCATTTTGCAGTAATTATTATAGGCTATGATACTGTATTCTTTACTGCTTTTTCTTGTGTCATTCAGCATAATTCTGTTCCTTTTGTGTACCTAAAAGTAAATTTCCTAGTCACATTGTTGGCACTCGTGTACAGATTGTGATTCTATTATTCCTCCACTGTGCAAGCATGAACTGTGAGCATAAATTAAGCATGTTCATTAGGCTATGCCTTGGCCAGACAGGTATGCAGCTATGTATGTGTGTACCTGAACTGAAGGCCAGGAAAAGGGTAGGAAGAAGGAAGCAGTAGCACCCCTTGCCTCGCTTGAAGTTTTAGCCCAACTGCTAGCTGCCCAACTTCTTTCCAACTTTCCAGCACAGTACCTTAACCAGCCTGCCACAGATTAGCCATTATCCAGGTCTTTCTCTGGCATTCTTTTTGAAGCTCAGTCACTTCCTCTTGCATTTAATAATCATTAGATGGAAAACGGTAGAGGTCTCTGCTCTACTGGACACGTCTACACAAGATGCTATGGTGCAGCAGCAACAAGCTACTTGCCGTATCTCGTTGCTACCATGCCATAGGTGATGCATAGGGGAGGCATGGAGTGGTACATGCCCCCCCTGAGATTGGCTGCCGCCAGCTTCTGGGGGCAGTTGCCACTTGCCACCTATCCCCACCCCTTGCTGCTGACGCAGCCGCTAGAGTCTGTGAGCAGTCACTGCTCCCTGCCGACATCACCTCCAGTATCTGTGGGCAGTCCCTGCTCACTGACACCTATGCCAGCATCTGCGGGGAGTCCCCACTTGCTGCTTATCGCCATGGTGCCCCCCAAGGTTGTTCATGTACTGGGCAGTAGTGTTGTGGGCACTGACCGTGATGTGACATGATGCTACTGAACAGTAGTAATGAGCTACTGCTCAGTAGCTTTTTGCTACTGTGCAATAGCATCAGAAAAGTACCATGCGGCAATGGTACTGAGCATTAGCGCCAGTTACTGCACAGTCATTTAGTACTTGCTTATGCAAGTACTAAATGACTGTACAGTAACAACTGCGCAGGCCGCTGTTCGTGTAGATGCAGCCACTGAAAGCTAAGGCCCAGGCTAGAACCCAGGGTGCCAGCAGCTATCTTACTGAACCACACACCCTCTGGCAAACTGTCTTTCTCCTGGCCCCACATACCTTACTCTCATGGCTAACACTAGGGACCAGCTTGAAGAAGGAGCATAGAGAGGGCCCTGGATAGAACGAAACCTATGGAATGATGGTTCAAATGTTGTGCTGAAAAGTCAAAGAGATACAAGTTCATTCTCCATGCAAAGGGGGAACTAGACTGGGGGGCTTTTGTTCCCTGGGCAAGTGCCCTAATCACTCAGCTATTAGGGTTAAAGCAGTCTTCCCCTTCCCCTCCTCCCATCCTGCTCTTCTAACACATATTAATCATGGGCTCTGGCCAGCTACATTCTCATGACTTACACACACTTATGCCTCCAAAATGGGCTTGGTTGAGCATGCTCGCTCAGCCTATGTGCATGTGCTTACATGGCCACAAATGCAGAGATAATAAAATCTCACAACCTGTGTTAAAATTATGATTTGGAGTGTTAGCAGAATGTGCACGTATTATCTGTAGTGTCAATGTGAAGACTTGTGCTATGTCTCCCCACTCCCCTCCCCTAGTCTGTACTGGACTCAGATGTTCCAAGAAACTAATGACCAAGTGGGGCTATACCGTTGGTTCAACTACCTGTGACTGTTCAATCTCAGACTATGCAACACCTACCGCTATGCCCGCTGCTCAAAGGCACATGTAAAATGAAAGATCTTGCAAAGTACAATAAATGAGAACAAGCATGTGTAACAAAATGGTCAAATGTGGTGTAGAGACACAAGAAGAAGATGACAACCTGAGTATAAGTACCACTACTTACTTGACTAGAGAATGGCCTTTTTGGTGCAAAAATGAAAACAGAATTTCACACATTGCTCTGTTTTTCTGAAACAATACCTTAGAACTGAAAATACACTCCTGGTCTTCCTCAGTTTTGAAGTGTTTTGTATTCCTGAACAAGGACTGAAACTGTTTCTTTTGCTCAAGGAG